TAGCCTAACTGCTGAATGTCTTCTATTTAAGGTTCTTAAAAATCTGAAGAGAGGACACCTCCATGTTGAAACAGCTTTTCTGTTATATACCATTAAGGACAGCCTGCTGGACAGCCAGTTTAGAAGGCCTCCAGTCGACCCTCCAGCTTAGAGAGCTCATCCTTAATCGAACTGAATACCTCTTGAGCCTTAGGGTGGATTTCGGAAGTTGAAATAGTCCAGACATATTCCCTAAGTGGTGGAGTGTTGGAAATGCTTGGTTACAATTTCTGCTATGTGCCTCAACAAATTAAATAAGTTTGAGTTAATTATAATTCACAGATAACCTCTATTTATCCGACAAGGTCAGAGTTGATCATTTGAACAATGAGTGACCCATCTCTAAAGCGTGTAAAGGTGCTAAAAGACCTACCCTTGCCTCATTAAAAAATTTAAATTGTTTGTGCAGTTCCCATACGAAAGAAGCTAAAGGCATCTGGTGAAAATAATAAGCACCGAGAGAGGGCAATTATATCCATTAATCTTATTGATTATTCATGTGGGTCAAAGGGTTTGATTTTGAAAGTAAAAGGTGTTTAATATACAATTCTATTTGAACCAACCCAAAGCCTGTATATTGTCCTGGAGATGGACGGTGGGGGAGAAGTGGTTGTTTTGTTAATCTAGTTGGGCTTTTCTCACAGAAAGCAGTTGTCTCTTTGGTCTGGTGCATACTGCAACTCATGGAATTCAAAACAAACTAAACAAATTTATAGCACATTTGGAAACAAGCACATACAATCTGAAGCCACAACTGAAACATGATTGCAGGATGACAAAGATTGGGTCTTAAATTTGAGCGGTACACAACATTCAAGAAAATCAGGAAGCTAGGTAAAAGTGGAGGGATAGCACTATTAATCAAGGATGGCATTAGTTAAAGATAACCTGGTTCAAAGATCAGGATATAGAATTGGCTTGGGTGGAGATGAAGATTATTAGGTGAATGAAGAAACTATTGCGAGTCCCCTCCAGGCTCCCTAACACTGAACACAACAGGAGATAAAGCATACAAGAAGAAATATTGGACGCTTGTGAGAAAGAGACAGCAATAGATCATGGGTGAATTTATTCTACAAATAAACTGAATAAAATCAGATTGGCTGAAGTAGCCTTGATGAGGAGTCCAGAGAATGCTTTTGAGATCATTTCTTACAGCAATATATTTTTGAACTGACTAGAGGACAGGTTCATCCAGCCCTGCACCTTGTTGTCTCGGATTCTCCAGCATCTGCAGTTCCTACTATCTCTGACAGTTTACATCAGACTTGTTATTGTGTAATGTGACAAAATTAATTGATTACCTCAGAGTTAAGGCACCCCTAAGTAATTGTGACCACAACATGATCGCAACTTGAAATGGGCTAAGATTAGGATTTAAACCTAAATAAGGGCTACTTTGTGGGCATGAAATCTATGCTAGTTGAAGTGAACTGACGTACAAGGTGAGGAGATAGATCCATTAAGATATAATGGCAGACATTCAAGGGATTATTTCAAAATATTCAGAGTAAGTACATTCCTACCATAAAGGAAAATTCTCAAAGGAGGACCCACTACCCTGGTTAAATAACTTAGTTAGAGAAAGCATCAAACTAAAGTATATAGTCACACAAAGACGAGTGACAGATCAAATTATTGATCAGAACATATATGGCAGAAAATTACTAAAAGATTATCATGAACAAAAGTTTAGAGGACATGAAAGGAAGCTAGCTAGGAATGTTAAAATGGATAGCAAGAGTTTCTACAGGTATGTATAAAGGAAAGTAGCAAAGAGAGAGATCTGCCAAGTGAAGGTCCTCTGCGGAGACAGAATAGGCAGTTAATAATTGATAGAATAGAAACAGCAGATGAAAAGTACAAATATATTGCTTCTGTGCTCATTACAGAGGATGCAAAAGCTTTAAATCAGAAAGTGGATGGGAGAAAGGAACTTTTGCAAAATTACAATCATGAGAGAAGTGGCACTAAGCCACAATGGCATGTGAGCTGCTAAGTCTTCAGGTCCAGATGGATTTCATTCTAGAGTGTTAAAAGATGTTGTTAATGAGGATTAGAGGCATTCGTGTTAATTTTCCAAAAGTTACTAGATTCAGAAAAGGTTTTACTGGACTGAAAAGTTGCAAATATAACCCCTTTGTTCAAGAACGGAGAGAGGCAGAAAACAGGACCCATTGCCCAGTTAGCTTGACATCTATTATGGGGAAGATGCTAGACTTAATCATTAGTTAGATTATAGCTATGCAATTAGAAAAATGTAAGGTAATCTGGATAGGTCAGCATGGTTAAACAGGATTTCCCTTTGGTAAAACCAATTTAATGAAGTTATTTGGAGGACTATACTATCGATACAGGGGAGCCTGCAGACACACTATATTTGGATTTCCAGAAGAATTTTATAAGGTGTCACATCAAAGATTAATGCAGAAATTAAAAGCTCATGTTGAAGGAGGTAATATATTAGCATAGATTAAAGATTGGCCAGCTGGCATAAAACAGGACATACGCATAAATGGGTCTGTTTCTTTCTCCACAAATACTGCCAGGCCTGCCAAGTTTCTCCAGCATTCCCTCTGTTGTTATAAATGGATCTTTGTCTGATTGGCAGCATGCGACGAGTGGTGTCCCACTGTTCTTGGGCCTCAGTATTTTATAGAAACATCAACGACTTTGATGAGGTAGTGATGGCATGGTAACTAATTTTTAAAACGACACCAAGATAGGTAGGAATAAGGCCATAAGACCATATGAAGTAGGAACAAGAATAGGCTGTTCGGCGCTCAAGTTTGCTCGGCCATTCAATAGGATCATGGCTGATCTGACATACCTCACATTCATTTTCCTGCATTTTCCCCATAACCCTCGATTAATATAAAACAAAGAACTATGGATGCTGGAAATCTGAAACAAGAACAAAAAGTGCTGAAGAAACTCTGTGGGTCTGGCAGCATTGCAGAGAGAAAGCAGAGTTAATATTTCAAGTCCAGTGACCCTTCTTCAGAAATAGGAATGTATATTTTGAAGTAGACATGAGGTAAGGTGTTGACCTAATGGTATTATCGTTGGACTGTTAATCCGGAGACCCAGGAAATGTTCTGGGGGCCTGGGTTTGAATCCTACCGTGGAAGATGATGGAATTTGAATTTAGTTTTTAAAAAATGGAATTAAGAGTTAAACGATGACCATGCTGGTTGTCAGGAAAACCCATCTGGTTCACTAATTTAGGGAAGGAAACTGCCACCTTTACCTGGTCTGGCCTACACGTGACTCCAGACCTACAGAAAGGTGGTTGATTCTTAACTGTCCACTGGGATGGGCAATAAATGCTGGCTTAGCCAGTGATGCTCTTATCCTGTGAATGAATAAAATAAGGAAATTGCAGATGAATACAGAGAGATTGAGTGAGTGTGCAAAAATCTGGAACATGGTGCGTAATGTGAGAAGATATGAAGTTGTTCACTTTGCTGGGAAGAATAAAATAAAAGCAGAGTATTACTTAAACAGAGAATGAATAAAGTTAGTATGCAGGTTCAGCATATAATCAAGGTGACTAATGAATGCTATCCTTTCTTACAAAAGGAATTGAAGTCAAAAATAACAACAAAATGCTCCAGTTACACTGGCCATCGGTGAGGCCAAATCTCAAATACTGTGCGCCGTTTTGGTCTCCTATTTAAGGAAGGACGTAAATATATTGGACATGGTTCAGAGGCGGCTTACTAAATTGATGACTGGAATGAATGGATTGTCAGACTGTCTGGACTAATTTCCATTAGAGTTTGGAACAGTAAAAATGACTTGATTAAAGCTTATAAGAACGTGAATGGCCATGACAGGTGGAAGTAGAAAGGAAATTTCTTCTGTGGGACAATCCAGAACTAGAGAGAACTGTTTTAAAAATTAGGGGCTGCACATTAGGGATAGAGAACTGATTTTCACTCAGAGGATTGCATAACTTTAGAATTGTATATTTCAAAAGTCCGTGAGGCTGTGTCAATGGATATTTTTAAGACAGAGTTGAATAGATCCTAAGCAGGAGACAAAAGGGGCAGTGGGGAGCCATTTTTGAGAGGGGGAAGAGAATTGGGAAGTTGTCAAGCTGGAACCTAGAAGAAGAAATTTATATGATCCTCACAAAACCTTGTTGCAGTAAGCAGACTTTGCTTGGAAAGCAGTTAATTTCTGCCAACTGTCAGGATAGGGATTTGAGAAGTCCACACTCATGAAGTCTTTGAAGAAATGCTAATGCATGGCTTATCCAAAACCTAACAGAAGAATCCTCATCATTAAAAAAAAAAAAAAATCTTTCACAGGATGTGGACATCACTGGCTGGGCCAGCATTTAAAGCCCGTCGTTAATTACCTTTGAGAAGGTTGTGGTAAGCTGCCTTCCCGGATTAGTTCAATCCATGTGGTATAGGTACACTGAGTTCCAGGAATTTGACTTCATAACAATGTAGGATCAGTGATATAGCTCTAAGTCAGGATGGAATGTGGCTTAGAGGGGACCTTATAGCTGGTGTTACCATGCATCTGCTGTTCATGCCTTTGTGAATGGTAGAGGTTGTGGGTTTGGAAGGTGTTGGCGAAAGATTCTTGGTAAGTTGCTGCAGCGCATGTTGTAGATGGTACATGCTGATGCCACTATGCATCTGCAGTGGGACTGAATTTTTAAGCAAGTAGGTGTAGTGCCAATCAAATCTTGTATCACGTCAAATGAGGTTAACTTAATTACTAAGGAAACTTAAAACAAAGTAAGTAAATATTTTATTTGAACATTGGGTTTTATTCTGGCAGTTACGAAAAGAATTATTTTGGTAAGGGGAGTTAGGATAAAGTTTTAAACACAGAAGGAATCAGAGGAACTTGTACGTCAATAGCACTCTCCAAAAGTATACAAGTCCGCTAAAAAAAGGGAAGTAAACAGGGTTGAATATTTCATTTGTTATGCATCATACCTTGTGAGGTTCATGATGATTACTGTTAGGCATCATGGAGTCTTTTTTGTCTCCATCTTTTCGTTCATTGTCTGCCTTAATTTCCCCATCTTTGGCGACACAGCTCAATTTGGGGTCACCTCCAGTCTTATGTTCAGACTTTATGTCTTCATCATCAACTGGAAGCAGTTTTGATGAGTTACCCACAGAATCACATCTACTATCTCCAGCTCCAACTTCATTGTTTTCTTCTCTGTCAATTGCCATTGCACGTTCCTGGACACCTGGTTCTTCAGCTTGCATTAGAATGACATCATTTTCTGTGTCACTCCCACTTTTATCTTGGATGCTTAATTTCTCATCAACAGTGTCAATGTCATCATCAGCTTCTTTATCAGGGATTAACTTGTTTGGGGTTGGGGGCTGCACATCACGACTTTCTGAGTCAAGCACACTTCCAGGTAGACTCCTTTCCTGGCTTTGCTCAAACGATACCTTTTTTGCGTTTGCAATTGTAAATCATCAAAAAGAACAGGTCAGTAAGTTCTACTTAGCAACTAATGCCAAACTTTTTTTAAAACCACTTTCCCTAAGTTGCATTAAACTAAAACATGCTTATAATTATTGAGCGTAGTAAGTTTAAAGGGTTAGCAAAATATGAATGTTGGATAAATTTTAGCTGTATTGCTTGGATTTTTTGTTAAAACATCCACTGATATCACTACACGGTAGGGGCAAGTGTTATGTAGCATGCATCACTGCTTAAACTTGTGGTGTACATCAGCACAAATGGGCAAATTCATCCCAAGTGCGACTGATGTGCTGTGTGGAACAGCTTCAAAGGGAGAGGTGGTGTGGTCATATTCATTTAAAAAAAATAGATACTATCATGTTGCGCTCTGTTGGACACAATACACTCGAGATAAACTCAGTCAACATCGAAGAAAAGAAAATCCATATGGAATTTGGGATGTGTATAAACAGTCTTTGGATTTCTGTGGATCAGTGTGAAAAACGTGACAAGTGGAGAATGGAATTGAACACCACTGAGCTTACAATTCAGAGGTTAAGCATAAGGTAAAAAAACTGGGTACCAGAGATGCTTTTTAAAAGGCATTGAAGTAATATGAGCTAGAATTAATTTCGGGGGAGGCGGGGAAGAATTTCATACCAGTATAAAATTGAGTTGCTGTTCCCAGATCATGTAAGTAGCTCCCATACATGGATAGATTAGCCAAGGAGCAGAGAAAATAATTTTTACAAGGCTGGTGTATGTTGCCTGATTTAATAAAAGTGGACTCCATTATGAAAGTTACGTATCAAAGTCTTTTTATGTAGATGGGTTGCATTTCAGTTCAGTCATTCCAGATTCCTAAACTAAAAAAAAATCATTTGTTTTCTTCACTATTTCAAGAAAACAATATATGCTGAATTTAATTGACCTGGCCAAGAACTTTCGGCTTTTTTTTTAAAAGCAATGAACTCAGCCCAGAAGACAGTTAGTCTTTTGACTATCCGGTGCACAGAACCTGCATAAATTGCACAAATAATAGCACATACTAACTAAAAACCGAAAGAACTGTGGATGCTGTAAGTCAGAAACAAAAACAGAAATTGCTAGAAAAGCTCAGCAGGTCTGGCAGCATCTGTGGAGAGAAATCAGAGTTAATGTTACAGGTCCAGTGATCCTTCTTCAGAACTAATTCTTGTAAGTTCTGAGGAAGGGTCACTGGACCCGAAACGTTAACTCTGATTTATCTCCACACCTGCAGCCAAACCTGCTCAGCTTTTCCAGCAATTTGTGTTTTTGAGCATGTACTAACTGTTGGTCTGCCAGCCAAATTTGGTGTGGCTGCTCAGTTTTGATTTTATAAATCTAGGACTTAGTTTAACCAATTCTATGTATACAGCCACCAACACATCCACGAAAAGAAAAGGTCTAAAACATAAGTTCCAGTAATAGAAGGAAAGGGGGTAATTAGTAATGGGTGGGAAGGGAGTTAGGAAGACTACAAATATTCAGTGACATTAGTCTTGTGATGCCACACAGCTAATCAAAAATCACCTCTTTCTGACTTCCTGCTTCTTCATCAGACCCTGGGAGGTTTTGAAGCTCAGGTTCAGTCCCTTCATCAACATGATCATGATCTGCATCCTCATCGATTTCTGCACTTTCCTGAATGTTTAATGTCCAGTGGTGATATCAATGAATGATAAACACGTACAACATAATCAATGGCAAACAAATGCCTACCTAACATGTGAAACGTACTCTCTTACTTCTATAATTTTTCACATCTGCTGCATACTCCATGTAAACAAACATAAACCAAAACCAGCACTTACCGCAACATTGACAAGTGTACTTGGCAATTTCAGAACTCTGCATGAGGATATCTGAAAATTGCTAATTATAATTCAGTGAAAAATTATAAGTACTTTTGTTATTTAAAATACTAAATTTATTCTCGAATTATATTTCAAATGACTGAGAATACAAGAGATATGAAGAACACAACCCAAGCTGTACCATGGGATTTGGAGACGGTAAGGACTGCAAATGCTGGGAGCTAGAGTCAATAAATGTGGAGCTGGAAAAGCACAGACGGTGAGACAGCATCCAAGGGTCAGGAAAGTCAACGCTTCAGGCTAAAACCTTTTGTCAGGACTGGGGAGGGGGAGGGCAGCCTAGAAATAAATAGAAGGAGGGCGGTGGGGCTGGGGAGGGGGAGGGTAGGTGAGATGGAAATAGATGGACGCAGGTAAGGGGTTATTGTGGTTAGTCAGTGGGAAGGGTGGAGCGGATAGGTGAGTCAGAAGATGGACAGGTTGGGGGTGGACAGATTTTGAAGCTGGTGAAGTCAATATTCATGGGATATTTCATCTTAAAATTTCTCGTTACGGGGTGAACCATAGACAGAAGCTGTGTTAACTAAAATTGAAAGAAATGCACTGATCATCAGATTGATTTTTTTATTAAACTTGCAACATTAGTCTTCTGATCTGTAATATTTAAAGCAAAGGCAGGAGTTTCCAGTAACTTGCCCTCTATTTTATAATAAGAGATATTTTGAAGGCATATATCTAGTTTATAGTTTATTTAATCAGGCTCAGTCTGGGTTTTGTCTTTAGCTGTCAAAATAGTTAGTGGAAATTACTGCTGTATGCAATCTCTCAGTAATTGCCAAATCTATGAACAAATGTGCAGATGATATTTGCTTTTCGATAATTCTTGTAATAATGAATCCACAGTCATAGATACTGCTGTCTTAGGGTGATTATCTTGTTTTTTATACTTTTTCTTCAGATTTCCTGAGACAAAGGAATACATTTGATGTAAAAAGTATCGTGCAGTAGGATCTTACTTCTTTCTCCAGAAAGTTGGCAGTCCCTCTCTTTGTTTTTTTTTGCCAAGTAAGTTCACAAAAACGTACATAAAAATAAAATGCTTGAAATACACAGAGGGTCCACCATCATCAATAACTAGAGCAAATAACTTGCTGTTTCACAAGTAGACCCACTGTCAGATACTCTGATGAACCCAGTTTTACAAAACCATTGTCCTCATGACTTAATCTTGTAAGCCCTTCTGAACAATGCCACAGGAGATCAAGTAACTATTTAAAAATACACAAATATATTTCTTTACCTAGAAAGTGGTTAGAATCCAGAACTGGGTAAAATTTAAGCAAATAGCAGAGATGCATTTAAGGGTAAGTTAAATAAATACGTGAAAGAAAAAGCATTAGAACCCTTGCCCATTTTTCATTATTTTTACTTTATTCTTTTATTAATTTTGGTTCAGAGCTAGGATCTGTGAGGTAAAGTGACTTTATATTATAAGGAGAAGAGACCAAACAAGCTTTGGTTTATTCATGAGGCTAGGCCTGGAAGTCAATTGCAGGTTGGTTCCTTGTCAAGGTTCTGCACACACTTTGTCACTGCAGAAGAACATTATATTTATAGAGCATTATAAGAGCAGAAATTGGATATGAACAAGGTCAGTACCTGGGAAATGGCTCCAGCAAGTCTGAAAAAGACCTATGTTCAAGCATGTGGCAGATGGTGAATGGTAAGTGGGACCTTGTGGAGGAGATGGTTAGTGTGTCCGGGAGTGGTCAGAGGTTGAATTGGGTTTGCACTGTGTTTTGTGGGAAAAAGGAATCTGAATGTTGGTGCTACAGCATGAAGATTTAATAGCTCTCTGCCAAACCTCCCAACACCAACTCTTAGAAGCTCACAGAAAAAAAAGTCAAGTTATAAATATTATTGTCTTTATCTGGGTGAACTGAAAAGGTGATCCTGATGTACATCTCCAGTAAATAAACCAAGAAACCATCATATATGCCAGTAGAATAATGCATGGTGAAAAATACTTAAGTAATCTGGTCAGTTTTGTTATTTTCTTTTATTTATCCCATAACTGTGTTTGTTTGTCTTTTGTGTGAATAGGGCTGAAAACAAGGGGTTTTGAATTTATAGCACAGACTAATTAGGTTACTTTATTTAATTTTACTCTGCTAAAGTTACTACATTGTTAATAAATTGCTAAGTCTTTTGTTTAAGATACAAACCGGTGTCTAAAATTGATTATTTGCAGACTCTGGGATTGGTTATTCAAAAGTCTGGTTAGGAACCATTGGGATCAATTTTGAGGATCTTTAAAGATTTTAATGATAGTGTTGCAAATACAGAGGTAGGAAGGCTGATTTGGTTCAGTTGTCTGTCACTGTGTCGTAACAAGAGGAATAGAAGGTTAAGCTGACAGGATCAGATGAAGACTGGTTGAGGGAGATTTACGTGCAGCACAAACTCTAGCAAGGACCAGTTAGGCCAAATGCCCTGTTGCTGTCCCATAAATTCTGTGTGGCCCTGTGTAGTAGCTATCAGTATAAACTCAAAAGTTACTTCTGATAAATCTATTCTGTTCATTCCTTCTTTGTTCAATTGTGTCCTCCGTACAGAGGATGGGCAGTGCAGAAAATGAAATATGTTTTCACAATAAGTGTGTCCCAATCTTGGTAGTATCCTCTACTGCAATGTGTATAATACTGGTTAAGAATTTCATGCATGCAATCCGAAAAAATTTCTTTCCCCAAGGCACATAAACACAAACCGTCCAGTGCCATTCTACAAATCTACTGTAATAAAATGAAAGATCTTGACTGGATAGTTGTATCTTCGCTTTCTGGCACGCCCACCTTTTTTTTGACTAAAAGCACAAAATCCAAAATATTTGAAAGAATACTAGATAATGGCTAAACCTAGGCATGTAAGGATCTAAACCAGAGCCTAAATACATTTAAAACACCAATGGTGAAGAAAATGCTGCAGTCGTTCCTTTTCCTTTCACACTCATGCACCTCAGATAATTATTAAACAGCTCAAGCAACCAGGAATTAATTTGGTGTTGCTTTTGTGAATCCCAAAGGGAAAAATCTAATTACTGTTACCCAATTCATTCTGTCAGCAGGGGTGGTACTTCATCTATACCACAGCTGGAGAGTATACTGGAGATACAATCTTTAACCCTGTGAGTAAGGCAGCATTAAAAACATCTACATACAAGTCTCAGATTGTCCAGAAAGCACTGGAAATTGAAAATGCAATTAATAACTTCACAAGTTTCCATTCTGAATTAATAATCTGCACTTCAAAATTAAATGCAGAGAAAATCATTTTTGTTTTTGTATCATTCTCCACTCAGCTCAGCTGGAGAACTTTCTGACTTTATGTGACCTTCCACATATTAAGTATGTGAGAATTAAAAATTCAATACATTTAAAGGGAACATACTGGCAGCTTCAAATTGCATGGATGCCACCTATCCAATCATATTCAAAGAATGTCCTCCAACGGTTTCTCTTCCCATTCCTGCACCATTACCACTAGAATCCATCAAGAATCTATTATTGGCCCCTACATGCCCTGAAGGCAAAACACTAGCATCTACATGTGCAATGATCACACCCATCTTTACTTCACCAAGACTTTTCCCAATCCCTTCGGTGGTTCTGTATCATTTACCTACTTGTCCAACATCCAGTCCAGGATGAGCCTCAATTTTCTTCAATGAAAGATTCGGATCATAAGTATAATGTCTTCCGTACTTGCCACAAACTCTGTTCCTTTGTCACCAACTTGATTCCCCTCTTTGGCCACTGTATCAAACTAGACTAGACTGTTTATAACCATGACATCCTATTTGACCCAAAGTTGAACCTTTGATTTTATACCACCTCCATAATAAGCACCAACCTCCACTTCCAGAGCATATTGTCTCTTGGTTTTTCTATAGAAGAAGGTTCTACATAAATGCAAGTTGTCGTTCTTTCTTTGAACAAAGTAGCATTGCATAATAGGTGAAAGCATGTGTATTTAGGGATGCCTTTATCGCAACATCTACAACGCCATGCTAGAAAGTATCAGCAAAGATGGCATTTAATTAAGGAGTGACATTCAAATCAATAATTGAATAACCAGCTTGTATTCACTGCCCAGAACTAAACTTGAATAGCCACTTGGGTAAGTTATCAGAGGACTACTTTATAGTATGGAATGATATTGCAACATGAGCTAATGTCTTTAGGATGCGTAGAGCAAGGAGAAAAAGGAAGCTCGACTGAGAAAAGTTATGCCAGTGTAAATTGCTCATACTAATTTTGTTGTTATACATATCTCAGAATTCAGGTGACTGACAATCATGAGCAGATCAAAGTTTTATGCTTTGCAAGATTATTCCAAATAACTCAATGCAATGTGATCACGGCCAAAATTAATACTTGGTATTCAATTGTTAATGAATTGTATGATGAATCTGAAATAATTCAGTTACAATCGTCAGTCTTTTGATTTGTGTATTATTTGATATCCAGCACTGAGCACAACTGGATACAGATATTGCCATGACAGCCACCTTCAGTGGAAGGAAAGAAGAAAAAAATCAATTCTGATAAACTTCATAGCGCATGTTTAAAAAAAAATGCATTTTGGATTCAAATTACAGTCAAAATAACTTGGTTTTTATTATTATTAATATTGCCATTAGACTGAACGTTGGAATCCAGCTAAATACTACATTCTCTCCGTAACCAAATGAGCATTGCTTTATTTTTCATTTCCAAACAGCTGTCTATTTCCACAGGAAAGCAATTTAAGTAAAAAGAGATTCTTACT